GTCTACATGTTTAGTTTACTCTATCTTCATATAAAATGCTTGCTAATTGATTATGAGTTATGTGGGAATGTTTATTCATGATATCATATGTGCTTTGTAAAAGTTTGAAGGTTCTATGTTCATGGCATTATGACTTGGGTGTTTTTAGGGAATTAAATTTGAGTTTTGCCCGAGGACGAGCAAAAGCTAAGTGTGGAGGAATTTGATAGGAATGTAAAATGCATATATTTTCCTCCTAATTTTATATGCTCATATGATTAATCAATGCCAAACATTACATTCTTATTTTGATTTAGGTGGCAATTCAATGGAGATGACATAATTTGGAAGAAATATGTGAAAAATGACCAAAGTGAAAGGAAATGAAAGTCCAAGGACTAACGTGAAAATACAAAAAAATAGTGTCGAACCAAATGATGAAGATTTGAGAGCGTTATAAGTCAATTAAATGAAGAAAGAAGTCAAATGGGTGAAATATCCTCAAAGTAGGATCACACATTAATTTCCAATCGAAAAGTTATGCATCGAATTTTTAGTCTCAATTTGAGACCCATTTTTGACATGACAAACGATTGAATTTGAAGATGGTATCTGAAGAAAAGTTATATCCCTTTGAGTTAGATTTCTAATGCATTTTGAATCAGCTCAATTGGATACATGTAGAGAAAGTTATGACTAAAATATCAAACGTAGTTCAGAGACAAAACTGCTCGCGCGCGTAAGCGCGCAGGCAAATTCTCTCGCGCGCGCATGTGCATGAATTTTACTTACCGAGCCTAAAACCAATGAATGGCACTTGTGCACATTGGCATTTTTTACAGACGAATTTTCAATTTCCGAATTTAAGTCAACTACCTATGGAAACAACTATAAATACATATTTTAAAACCCTAGAAGACGAGAGAACGTACAGAACGCCTCCAAACTTCATTCTTCATTATTTCTCTCTTAGATTCATGAATTGTAACTAAACTTTTACACTTGGTCGAAGGAAATTGAAGTCTCGGAACCACATATTGTGAGATCTAAATAGTTTTTCTTATTGTTTAATTCTTATTTTGCGTATTGAATATTCTTCTGCACTTATTTTCATGATTGTTATGTTTAATTGTTAGGAGGCTTACNTTTCTTACTGTTTAATTCTTATTTTACGTAATGGATATTCTTCTACACTTATTTTCACGATTGTTGTGTTTAATTGTTAGGAGGCCTACTAGTTAGTTATTCGTTACGATCTACCGCTAAGTTAAACATCAAATCCGTAATTGTTTGATCCCTTTAACTTGTGAAGTACTAGGATTTGATAGATTTTTACGATAGAGGTTATTGAATTTTAAGAAAAATGTTTAAATAGATTGAATGCAACTACTGGTGTTTGTGTTATCTAGTTCATCGATTTCTCTATTGTGTAAAATTGTTATTAAATTGAATCTTGAGCACTGGTCTAGGATTATTTAATAATTAAGGTTAATTAGAACGCTGGTTTCTAACTAACTAAAATTAAGTAGACATAAGAATCAATTCCAATGATGAATATTNGGG